TATATTATTTGACTATATATATTATATTATATTATATTATGTTCACGAATGTAGCATGTTGAAACGTTAATATCATGAAACCACTCCGCTTTGGGCAACCGCTCTTAGATCATTAAGAGCAAAACTTCACGCCAAAAAGCTTCCAGGTGCCATTGCCAGGGAAGTTCATAGTGACAACCTTGATAGTACTCCGATGTGCAAACATCACACATTTTTATATTTAAAAGATGTTTCTAACCGTATGTATCTTTTTGTCTTGCTAAAACATTCATTGAAGAAACATTGAAGAGGAACTTGGTGCAAGGAACGCCATGCACCTAAAACGAGTAGATTTGAGGCAAGTAATTTCTCAGGCTCTAAAAAATATTAGAAATAATAAAACGCAGAAGAATAGGAAAATGTATTTAAAATAAATAAATAGACGTATCTTGTATTGATGCATTGTATGAATTAATATATTAATGTAATGCCGACATTATGTGACTGCCATTATAACACAGTTGTTATTATTAGTACACAAGAACCAACACATGCGGGTTGTTCGAAAGTCGTTATCTCAGTCAGTTACTGTTATAGCCTCTCTCTCACTAGACGTGACGGTTCTGGTTGGTTAATTGGTAATTAATATGGTTAATTTGGATCAGAGTTGACAATAATATCATTTTCAACTTTCAAATAATTGACAATTATAGAGAAATTACTCACTGGATCCTGCGTGCGCGCATTCGACCGAGATCCAAAATACGAAGAAGTCGTGGATTTCATGTTTACCAGATTCCAGCTCGTTGGCTGTCTGCAAGCCGCATTCAGCACTTGGGCCACAAGCCGCCAACTGCAATTCTACTATAGAGCTACACCACTTCGTTGAGGTTTACGAGTAAATGCTTCTGTGCGCGGACTGGCAGGCGTATTGCTTTGATCCAATACCCCAGTGTAAAGGTTACACTTTCTATTTGTGTGCGTCTTTAATACCAAGAAATGTATAGCCAGTGCGCTGAACTTGTACTTCATCATCATCATCATCATACTGCTTATCTCATCGTTTTTGGCTTGATTCAGTAATGGATATGATCGGCACCAGCGTGCTCAAGATCGCCGGTTTTTTTCGGCCAATTTTCCTACGTAAATAACTATTGTCGTCATTTTGATGCTATAAAAGTTACTTTTATACGCCGAACAGACAAGGATTTGTATAAAACAGCGATTTTCAACTGATTAACTCTGATTGTTCACAGTTTGGCGACAAGTCCTTCGATGGGAACCTTACAACACGAAGAGGGGGCAACAGAGCATTTCGGTCCACCATCGCATCATTACGCTCGGAAATATTTCAGTGCGTGCTACATTGTGATAGCTGCCGGCTTTGAACAAGCTGGGCGGAGTCATATAAACCGTTTGAGCATTGCTCATGTAACTTATTGTGGTCGTCTACTGCTTAAAGATATGCAGTATGCGATGGGCCATTTGCAATTTAAAGGGCAGTTATTTTCCACTGCTAGCTCTGTTTTTTCGCCTTTCAACGGCTACCGATCCGTAGTTTGTTTGACCTATCGAAAGAATTTGACGTCCATTACGCTGCCTTCCAAACCTTGTGTGAGGACTTAAGCAAAGTCGGCGTCAACGTCCGCCTGATCCCGATCCTGTGTGAACTCAGATCTAGGCGGATCGCACGGCCGCCACCCAGTAAAAGTCGCCAGGCCATAAAAGGAGTTCAGCACGATCTTTGGAAATCAAGCGAAAAGAAGTCATAACAACAGGCAATTCAGGTTCGTTTCTTTGGACTTTTGATATATTGCCGATGATCACTCGTCGTCCTTCCGTGCACCACATGATCTTAAAACGTCATGCGCCGAAAGAATCCATGA